GTGTTGTGGACATCGTGTCTGATGCTGGTGTTTGGGTATAGTGTTCACGAAACCCTGGCGTTGCTGCAGTGACCTTGTTTGATATTGTAGTGCGTCCCCTCGTAGTACTCCATGGCGGGTGGGATCAGTGGGCACTGAATCTTTCTTATTAATTATGGATCCCTAATGAAAAAAAATAGTAAAAACTATGTTTATTGGTAAACGACCACGCCTAGAAAACTCTGAACAGCAGTCTCCACCGCAAGATGGACCTGTACCTCGCTTTCTGATCTTGCATTCACTATCCGATAAATCTTTAGGGCAAATGTCTCCCTTTTTTATTCAGAAGGGCCTAGAGGGGCTTACTGGCTCTCCAAAGTCAGTTAAGAAGCTCCGTTCTGGAAATATCTTGGTTGAAACATCCACAGCTAAGTACAGTGAACTCCTCTTGAATTCAAATACCATTGGGGATATACCCATTGACGTTACATCCCACACTTCATTGAATTCGTCATGAGGAGTTATTGTTGAGAGAGACTTGAAGTCTATCCCCGAGTCAGAGATCCTTGCTGGTTTCTCCAATCAAGGTGTTTCAGCAGTTCGAAGGATCTCCACTCATCAAGATGGTATTATGGTGCCGACCTCAGTTCTTATTTTGACCTTTTCATCACCACGTCCACCTGCCACTGTTAAGTCAGGTTATTTGAACTGTAAGGTACGGCCCTATATTCCCAACCCTCTCCAATGTTTTCAGTGCCAGCGGTTTGGTCATTCGAAGACATCTTGTCGTGGTACTGTGATATGTGGTCGTTGTGGTGGCAAGTACCACGACGCCTACCAATGCAAACAGGACCCTTACTGTGTTAATTGTAGTGGTTCCCACCCCTCTTATTTAGGTCTTGCCCTACGTGGGTGGAGGAGAAAGAGGTACAGCATTTGAAGACTGTTCACAACATTTCTTATCCAGAGGCTCGGAAGCTATTGTCACCCTACTCCATTTCGGACATATGTCACTGCACTATGCTCCACTGCTACAGTGGAAGTGCAGACGAATCTTTCCATGCCTCCATTCGAGTCTTTTTCACGCCATGTGTGAGGTCTTCTGCCCACCATGGATAACAGAGTTGATAGGTCTACATCTACTCCAGTCTCTGTCCCCACTATGCCTTCCAATGACTGCCTGGGTCAATCTCCTCGGGCACCAGTCTCTGGTGTCCGTGCAGGTCCTTCTTTGGCCCCTAAATGCAGGATGATCGTTCAATCACGTCCTCAGTCATTGGATTCTCACTCTGATGACAGAGATCTGCCCACTCGATCAAGGGCAGGATACATGGAGGTCGATGTTTCTGTTTCTTCTCCTGCCTTCTTGACCATCAAATCTCGGGCAGAGCGATCGCCTCTTTCCTTTTAGGCCAATCGTCTCTATGATTATAATCGCCCCTTTACACTGGTGGATCTCAAACTTGCTCGTCGTCGGTCTGGTAGTACACTGATCGGACCTGATGATGTTCATTATGAGATGTGGCGCCATCTCTTTCCTGCATCACTTGCTATTCTTTTTTCATGTTTTGCATGTTTTTCATGATGCTTCCCTTTCTCTAAACCTGAGAAGGATCCCAAGATTCCTTCTAATTATCGTCGAATAGCTTTGACTAGTTGTCTTTGTAAGGTCCTAGAGAGGATGGTTAATGCTTGTCTTGTTTGGTTCCTCGAATCGAGCACACTCCTCTCACCCACCCAGTTTGAAACATCGATCAGGGAAGCCTTTCTCAAGAGAGAGCACCTTGTTTCTGTGTTCTTCGATCTCGAGAAAGTTTATGACACCACGTGAAGGTATGGAATTTTGCAAGACCTCCACTCCTATGGGTTGCGTGGCCATCTACCCATTTTTATTCAAAACTTTTTACTGAACAGGCGATTCCACGTTCATGTGGGTTCAACTCTTTCCCGTTCCTTTCCACAGGAACTTGGAGTCCCTCAGCGCTGTGTATTGAGTGTCACACTTTTTAGTGTTAAAATTAATACCATCACAAATAATCTTCCTCTGACTGTTGCAAATGGGCTCTATGTCGACGACTTCCACATCTCATGTCAGTCGTCGAACATGAGGTTTATTGAGTGGCAGCTTCAGACAGCCCTCAATCGGTTGTTGACATGGACCACTGCAAACGGTTTTAAATTTTCTTTTTCTAAAACCGTTTGCATGCATTTTTGCCGCCAACGGGGTCTCCACCCCGATCCCGAGCTCCGTCTAGGCGATATAGTTATTCGTGTGGACCCTGAGGCAAAGTTCTTGGGGCTTATCTTTGACCGTAAGCTTAGCTTCATTCCGCACATCAAGCAGCTATGTATCAAGTGTGCAAGGGCTGTGAACATCATCCATGTCCTCTCTTCCAGCTCTTGGGGAGTGGATAGATGTTCTATTCTCAGGATCTATTGTGCCCTGATTCGATCCAAACTGGACTATGGGTCTTTGGTCTATGGTTCTGCCAGGACCTCGGTCTTGAAGATGCTGGACCCCATTTACAATCTGGGGCTTCGGCTCTGCACCAGGGCTTTTCGCACTTCTCCAGTCCAGAGTTTGTACACTGAGTCCTACGAACCTCCTCTTCACCTCCATCATTTGCAACTTTCTTTACAATATGCTACCAAGCTTCGATTCTTACCACGGCATCCCACCCAGTATTGTATCTTTCTTCCCCGATGTGCCATGCTCTTTTGGAACAGATGGTCTGCTATTCCTTCCGTTGGCCTTTGTATCCAGGCACAACTAGTTGAACTGGGTCTGGCATTGGATGACATTGCTGTCCCCAATGATCAGCCCATTCCACCCTGGCTTATTACCATTCCTTCCTGTGACCTTTCTCTGAGTCATCTGAGGAAGGCGGATACTCACGATTGGAAGTGCCGTCTTCTTTTTGCTGAACATCTTTTGAGCCATTCTTCTCTTCCTATTTACACGGATGGTTAGAAATCGGGTGACTCTGTAGGTTCTGCCATGATGTGCTGTGGCTCGGTAGTTGCTTGCAGGATCCCCTCTACAGTTTCTGTGTTCACTGCCGAGTTGTATGCTATTTCTCTTGCCCTGGATCATGTAGAAGCTATGCAGTACAGTAATTGTGCTATTTACACCGATTCTCTTAGCTCTCTACTGGCCCTAGAATCGCTTAATGTTAGTTCTAACCCTGTTCTCGTCGATATTCAACACCGATTGGCCCACTTTTCTCTATCTCCTGTTTCCATCCAGTTTTTCTGGATCCCTGGCCACGTCGGTATTCACGGGAACGAGCTCGCTGACACCGCAGCTAAGTCCGACTGCCAGTTGACAGTCGACTTGGGGTGAGCAACGTCATAACAAGCTTTTCCAGATCAAACCTTCTGTTGGTCTTTGGCCGCCTTGCTTCCGTAAGGATCGGAAGGAGGAAGTAGTTCTGGCAAGGCTACGCATTGGTCACAGTTTTTTAACCCATTGTTTTCTTTTATCAGGTATTGACCCACCGATGTGTAGCCATTGTGACACTCAAGTCACAATAGCCCACATTTTACTGTCCTGCCGTCGTTACGACCGTGAGCGGCGGCACCATTTTAGTCACGCATTTTCTAAGAGTTTACCCCTGACGTTGGACAGTGTCATTGGTAATGGTGACATTGTCCAATTAGATTGTATTTTTAATGTTTTACACACTATAGGTCTTTTTAATTATATATATATAAATCTTTTATCAACATATATTGGTTTTAACTCACTGTATTTTTACATTTTACTTTAATTTACTTTCACTGTTTTTACCGGTTGTTTGGTGCAGATAGCCTCGTTGCTTTGTGCCATAAAGCACCAAAAAACCAACCAATTTTACCGATTGGCCATTTATTATTATTTTATATTTGACGACAAGGGTCTGAGAAACTAAAGGTAACGGGTCATGATGAATAACGCAAGTCATCATCTGATATTCATTTTCTATTCTATGGTACCTCTTGACACGTCGAACTCCAAAACAGCTCAGAATGTAAAATGATTTAAAGAAATATACTCTCATTTAGCAATGTTTTCTAAGCCTGAACAGTTACATCTGGTAACGCTCTTTCTGAAAAGAAATAACGCATTAAATCCCTGAACAATACCACTTTCTGTAGAGTAGAAATGCTTCTGTTGTATTTACTGCACAAAAGCTTTCAACTAAACTAAATTAGAAGAAACTATTTCTAGACTAAGCGTACTTGTCTGACAAATAATCAAAAACAAACTTAATCCTGAACAGTGAAAAAAAAAATGTCAAGCACGTTTCTTGATCTCTCCATTGCGCGCTTTGGGTTAACGTTTAAAGTAATATTTAATCTTCAATCTTCCTCAAGCAACAAGATTATTAAAGGACATGTACAAATTTGAATAGCTAAACAACTGTTGTTATTATAGCGGCGGCATGGCTACTAAATGGAAGGTAAGTGGCATTAAGACATTTTTCCATTTGATTAGTTAAAACATTTTTGATCATACTTAACATGAGCAACTAGAGAAAGCAAATAGTAATAACTGACGTATAATAAAAATATTCAGTTAACTGTAATACTTCATTAACGTAGTTGTATTAGAGATGAAAATAATGTATGTGCTATTCTCCTTCTTACAGCTTAGATCGGTGTTTTTTCTTTCAGCAAACAACAATCGTTAGTTAAGCCACCATGTAGATATTATAATTTGAAGAATAAAACACGGTGTTTATCATCAAGTGGACTGAACTTTCCATTATTCTTTTCAATGAAAAAACCCTCCCTCCAATACAAATCGTTATAAGATTTGTGTCAGGAGTGGAATTATTTTGATGAAAAATAAAATAAGCTTCAGACATAACTTCGGGATTACGACTCTGCTTCAATGCGAGATCGCAATGTTGCTGGAAATGATAAAACGGTGGAAAGAAAACCAAGAAAAATGAGACAGAAAACCAAGAAAAATGAGACATAATATTAGAAGAGGGAGAGATAAAACATGAAGAAGATCAAGAAAAATGAGACAGAAGCTAAGACGAGACAAAATATTAGAAGAGGGAGAGATAAAACATGAAGAAGATCAAGAAAATTGCATAGAAATTAAAAGGAGTACAAAAACGAGATAAAAGATTTCGGAGAAATTACAATAAAAATAAATGTGATGAAGGACAAGACAGGAAATGTACAGTTTGAATAATGCACTCAATATTTATTTGCACTGGGGCATCTGCTCCAACCTAAAACATCATTAACTATGCCACATGGAAGAGAAGAAACCATCTGGTTTACATCTGTTACCATTATTACTGTTTTGCCATCTGTAACTGCTGAACTTTCCCGGATTTCTCCATCTTTATCAAGTTACGGAATTTAGCAGACCCATTCATTAATATTATTTAATTGAGAAACCAAAACTATAGTGGAAAAGTAGAATGGGAGCCAAAAATAGGTGCAGTTTGAAACCATTTCCAAAGTGAATGATGAAATATTGAACAACAAGCTGTTCATCTTGATGTTCACTTAAAAGGATCAGCTTTAATAACATTGAGTAACATTCTAACATAGAGCTGCAATATCACGCATTGTCAGCTGCTCTTATAAAATACGTTGGAGTGTTATATGAGAAGAATTTTTTAAAGCAAAATTATGGAACAGTGCAAGAGAGATGGACAAGTCCTTGATCACTGATGAAGATGTGAAATAAGGGTGGTGAACAAGTCCTTAACCACCTGATGAATATGTGAAATAAGGGTGATGGGTAAGTCCTTAACCATATGATGAAGATGTCAAATAAGGGAGATGGACAAGTCCTTGATCACTAATGAAGATGTGAAATAAAGGTGGTGAACAAGTCCTTAACCACCTGATGAAGATGTCAAATAAGGGAGATGGACAAGTCCTTGATCACTAATGAAGATGTGAAATAAAGGTGGTGAACAAGTCCTTAACCACCTGATGAAGATGTCAAATAAGGGAGATGGACAAGTCCTTGATCACTAATGAAGATGTGAAATAAAGGTGGTGAACAAGTCCTTAACCACCTGATGAAGATGTCAAATAAGGGAGATGGACAAGTCCTTAACCAACCGATGAAGAGGTGAAATAAGGGAGATGGGTAAGTCCTTAACCACATGATGAAGATGTCAAATAAGGGAGATGGACAAGTCCTTGATCACTAATGAAGATGTGAAATAAAGGTGGTGAACAAGTCCTTAACCACCTGATGAAGATGTCAAATAAGGGAGATGGACAAGTCCTTGATCACTAATGAAGATGTGAAATAAAGGTGGTGAACAAGTCCTTAACCACCTGATGAATATGTGAAATAAGGGTGATGGGTAAGTCCTTAACCATCTTATGAATATGTGAAATAATGGTGATGGACAAGTCCTTAACCAGCTGATGAAGATGTGAAATAAGTGAAGTGGACAAGTCCTTAACCACCTGATGATGATGTGAAATAAGGGAGATGGACAAGTCCTTAACCACTTAATGAAGATGTGAAATAAGGGAGATGGATAAGTCCTTAACCACTTGATGAAGATGTGAACATACTCGCTCAATTATCTTATCTAGATGCACTACGTGAAATTATGAATTTCTTGATATTGGAACAATTCATAGATGCTTTAGTGGAAGAAGATATGCACATTATGCTAAAGCAAAGTAGCTGTACATCTTTAAGTAGAATTGTTCAGTTTATAATGGAACTTGAATCAATTAAAGTAACAAATAAACAACTGAAGAGATTATACAGAAATTATGAGATTAACAGATCAAATAATGTAGAAACATCAATGCTGTCTGAATGAGTTCTTTTTTTTCAGAATGAAAGAAGTAAAACAAAAGACAGAAGGTGTTAGAATCGCAACGTAAAAGGGCGTATTGCCAGCATACATAAACTATTAGGAAATAGAAACTACGCCAAAGGTCGATAGAATAAGGAAACTCCTATATCTGTGAAAAGCATAGATATTACATCCGAGACTGTGGTGAATGTAACTGTTGATAGCAAACCAAGAATACAAAACATTTAGGATGAGAATACTGAATTTGCTCCAATTGAAGTAAGTAGTGCTTCACTGAAAGAAACCACTGATAAAAAGCTTTGCAACATATTGAATATTGTTCGATCTGATTTAGCAGTGGAAGCTAAGAACTTGCATCACAGAGATGTAGCAAAAGAAAAAATAGAAATCCACTCATGGAAGGAAACTTGTTTATTTATCATGGTGTATGGAAAATTAACATAGACGAAGAATGCACACTGGGAATAAATTTCATTCAAAAACACAGTTAGAATAGCTTCGAACAGTTTATTAGTTAATGATTAGGAAATCTATGTGAACTTGCATAATAATTACTCCCCCAGATGCTTAAATTCCAATGACAACAAACATAGAAGCACAATATAATGAAAACATTCAAACTAAAATGCAATAGAGCAGCTACCAGAAAAATGTATATTCCAAATCAAAGATCATCGATCATGAGTATCTTCGGAGGTAAGTTGGCAAGAATATAGCCAAATGATTAGATCCAGAGAAGATTTGCTCAGAAGTCGGTCAACCTGCTAAATAGCTTAAGGTCACTTCCATAATATAATTTAAGAATGGAACCACCAAAGGATTCCTTCGACCATCTACCTGAAGAGAACTCCCAAGGTGACAAGATGGCAAGTGATGATAAAGGACAATAGGTCATCCCACTTTCAAACCATAAATCACAGAAAAGGAAACAAAAAAATTCGGTCAATATATGGTTCAGAAAAAATTAATTAGTAAAAAAGTTTGGTTTTGTTAATGAAAATTTTGATTGTACTTCACACATATAATAAAATGTTTAATTATTGTAGTCTCAATATTTGTGAACATAAATATTATTAGTTATGAAGAGCTAATTAACTGTCAATTACGGAAGTTCAGTGTACCATGGTTTTCTTTGTGTAATTGGATTGTTTAAGAGAATTCACAACATAGGGAGGGGCAGTGTTGTAGGCTATGTTTTTAGTTTAGACATTTATATTAATGTTGGTAGAGAGAAGTTTTATGTAGTGTAATAAGTGTGGCTTAGCAAGTAAAACCTTCTTGAAAGTTTAGGGAGAGATTTGGGTTGTATAAAATGCGAGTTAGGCTAAAGTAGATATTTAAAAAATTGTTAGTGTGTCACCGAGTGTTGATGATAAATCACTGAGTTAAAGAGTTTAATTATTTAATTTGTCTAATACTATCAGACGGTTAATCAGAGAAATCTAATGGCGTATATTTAATGGAATTTCTTCCCATGGTTCATTTTTTGCGAGCTGAGATTATCGATCTAATTGTAACTTTAAATATGAATAATACATGTTTATAATGACCACAGCAATTTCCTTTCCTTTCCTTTACTACAGTAAGACCAATAATACTGGAGATTGAAGGAGTTGATCACCCCTTATCAGCCAATAAAGTAGCACATTTAAAATGCAGAACAGCTGGGTCTAGGCCTAACGTCACCATTACGTGGTGGCTGGGTAGTAAACAAATAAAGATGATAACAGTCAGAACAACTGACAGCACCAGCATGACTATCAGTACATTGTCCTTCAAACCATCGAAAGAAGACACTGGAAAGTACCTTTCCTGTCGAGCAGAAAACCCATCGATACCAGATGGCGCTTTGGAACGTGGATGGACGCTCAATGTTCATCGTAAGTATATGAATATTTTCAGCGTTCCTCAGATAGTTGATTTAAAGATATAATTAGAGAATTTTAATAACTAAGTACCTAAATCCTATCTTTAAAGTAACGGAGTGTTAGATGCTTTGTTTTGTAAGTAAAATACATGCAAGTAGAGAAAGAAATGGCATATAGTAGCATACAACGCATTCTGTGCTCAATACCCCCCCCCCCCCCAAAAAAAAGTTCAACATCAAGTAATTCAATCAAAAAGCAAAAGGGAGAGCAGGAATGATGCAAAACGAAACGTAACACACGTTATAGATGTCGGATCAATGAAAATATTGTTCATTTAGGTTGAAGTAGGTTAGTTTACTAGAAAAATCTCCACATTAGTGTAACACGAAACCGACTGTGTTTGACTAATAACCTCTACGTGTTCCTTGAAAAGTCTATCCTTTATGGCAAAATTTCGGTTTTCGATTTCTTGCGGCGGACAAAATGAAGATAGTCCATTGTGTTTTTTTGCACTAAGAAAACAGTAACAACAAGAGCTCTCTCTTGTGGCCAAAATAGAAAGACTCGCTACAATGTCAAAAAAGAAAAAGAAGAGTCACCTTTCAGCTGAAACATTTTACGTGTAACTGAAAGTAATAAGTTCATTAGCATTATTTATTTAGCAAATGGTTCTTGAGAAACTTTATCCCCACAAACTTTCTGTGGTACAGTTTTATTTTAAAATAGCTTAATTAGACGTTACAACTTTAAATATCATCATTAAAGAACATAGTTGAAAAATATTGTGTATACCCCTCTGTGATGTTTCTAGGTGAATTAACTCAGGAGTTATACTAGATAGTTCCGCTAAACAAGAACTTATACAAGATAAGCTATTACTGAATAGTGCTAAATGTATACGAGACAAGTTTAGCATTAATTGTGGTGAACACAAAATGTAATACAAAGAACACAATCTTTAGTAAACACTCGAAAGACAAAATCACTGTATGTGTGTGTGTGTATACTTGCTTTATTGCTTCTTCACTAAGTCAAGAAGACGTTTTTCCCAAACCGTCTGTCTCTCTTTTAGATAAGCCTAAACTGACACTTCGACTTGGAAGTAAACTTCGACACTTCCACATACAAGAAGGAAATGATGTTTATTTAGAATGTAACATTGTCGCCAACCCTTGGGTTACAGAGATTCGCTGGAAGTTCGAAGGTTGGGATTTACACACTAATACCTCTGCTGGGATCATTATCAGTAATCAATCGCTAGTACTTCAAAAGGTGAAGCGGGCTAACAGAGGGCACTATTTATGTGTCGCCTCTAATAGCGAGGGCCTGGGAGAAAGTAATTCACTCCATCTGAAGGTTCAGTGTAAGTAATGATCTGTCAGGAAAGTAGTAATGCTAAATCTCATTATTAAGAAATTTTAAAATTGATCCGATTTTACTTTTTTGTTCTTATTAGTTCGTACCATCAGTTCTTAATTACTGTCGTTTCAGGCTTTATAAGGTACTTTAACTTCAATTTTCGACCACGTGTTCAGTCTCTTTCTTTCTTTTTTTTTCATTCCTTAGTTATTTTGGTCTTATCATATTAGTTGTACTTCTAATCCCTAATAATTAAAATTTCGCTTTGGATATCTTATTTACATTCTGACTTATTCAATAGTTATTTTAAAGGCTTGCGTAATTATTTCCAAGTCTTACAGCTTCTTTCACCAACTTCTTCCGAACTTACGTCATTTGTCTCTTACCACATTTTAATGTTTACCCACATCTTAGCCTACTACGTTTATTGCTTATTAAACTCTGACCTCCCTATTTACCCTGGTGGTATTCACCAACATTGAAGAAGCTAAATCTGGTACCAAGGTATACAAACAAAGACCCGTCGCTTGCGTTTTGCGTAAAAGGAGGTATTTTCTACTTTGTACTTAGGAGGATTTTGACTTCTTAATACGAGCTCAAAAGCAGTATATAAGTAACTTAAGACGTTGCCCCAACTAAGTTTTCGGCGCTTACGAAGTATTCTGTTGGGTGTTAATTATGTTTGCTGTTGTCGTAACTCAAGCTCTACCTCTTACCATCTTTTCTATACTCTTCTAAACGTTTTGGAAAACTACCAGTTTTATCAAAATAACTTTTACAATAGCTTATGTTCAGACTCTTCTTCGTTCTATTTTAAACACCGCTTTCGTTAATTGCTGAAAAAAAGAAACCCTACTAAAACATTTCAAGAGACTGACCCCTTCTGAGCTGATTAGCCTTACCTTCTCCTATTTCACATTACATGATAAACTAGTGTGTATTCCACACCATAATTAACCTATTCATCTACGTTCCAAAGGTATATCTATATTAGATATTATATCTATAGTTTTGCCACAAAGTGTACTTAGCCGTTCAATATTTTTTTAAGTCAAGATACCACTGTTCAACGTTTTATTTTTTACTTTTGCTGTTAAGTCTACTCCTATTGAAATATTTCGCATTCAGTTATAGAATGATCTATTCAGATCATGTTATTTTTCAATCATGACAAACAAGCGATTCATCAGTTCAGGCCATTAAACTCAAGAGTCTTGGTGAAAGCCATTATGAATCAGATAAATTTACTCAAATACTTCGTTGTAAATGATCTTAGTTACTAACATTTCTTCTTAGAACTCCAATTTTTGTACATTCATAAAATCCAAGAATAAGTCTAAAGCTAACATTTCATTATTCCCCCCTCTCTGAACTTTACGTTTTCTTTATCGATCTCGAAAAGTATGGTCATGTTGATTCCAAAAAACAAAAAAACAACAAATAAAAACGATGTTCTTTTACCATAACCGGATTGTTCGGTTTATGTGTTTCATAGCAAGCCGGCTATCTTTAAAAGAGCCCTCTATCTTGTAGCTTTCATATAGTGCACTTCCTTCCCCAACTAGGCCTTTTTCTATTAGACGTTTTCTTCTTCTTGTTGCTAAACCTGTTGTGTATCTGGTAGTTCTTGTTGCAATCGGTTCATTTTTAGCTCTTTTGTAAGCTACGTTTGTTTTATATTTGCATTATCTCGTGAATTGCTGATATCCTCCTCTTCATTTCTTGTTCGTTTGTTTTATATTTTCATTATCTCGTGAATTGCTGATATCCTCCTCTTCATTTCTTGTTCGTTTGTTTCTTGTACCCCATTAATTCATATTGTATCTCCAAGAATTATATTCATAGATTTTCATTAAGATAACGAAGAAACGAATTCGTATAGAGAATGTTCTAACAAATTGCTGTGTTTATTATATAGAACTACTGTGCTGTTCCCATGTTTTGCACTTAATCTATACCCCTGTGCTTTAAATTTACTACTATATTACATATAGAATGATAAACTGAAAGGTTTCTAAATATAGATTAATATTAATCCACTTTTCGACCCTTTCTTTTTTTGCCGAAATTAATCCTCTGTACAATAAGCTATAGTAGCATGACGAGGTACTGGTAACAAAAAAGTATTTTTTTAAGGATTACTAAAAATATTTATTACTGAAGTTACAAGCTTAAACGAATTAGTGAATTATCTTTGGATCTGCTTTGTGGAGAGTAGGTTCTGGAATATTTAACATGCTAATCTGGTTTCGTAGTTAATCAAAATTAGATTTTCGAAGTGTAAGTTCTTATATTTTTATAATTTGTTTAGTTGTAATTACATTTAATAATAGTTCAAGCACATTCTTTTTTTTTTTTAGTCAGTCCGATTTGTAAGTCAAACCAAAAGATGACTTACGGGGCTGCTCGGCACGAACCAGTACAACTTTTTTGTGATGTTGAGGCAGATCCGGGTAACGTTACCTTCCACTGGAGGTTCAATAGTTCCAAGGACGCTGAAAACGTTCTGACATTTACTAGTGATAAGACTAGGAGCACAGCAACAGTCATTCCGCGCACGGATAACGATTACGGGTCTTTACTGTGTTGGGCCAGCAACAAAGTTGGTGTTCAACAAAAGCCATGCGTTTTCAAAGTGGTTCCAGAAGGTAAGGGAAATAAAATAAATTGATTGAAAATAAAGTAATGATCCAAGGAACAAACATAAATACACATTTCTTTGTCTTCATCGTTGATTGGTCACGAAGTCAGTGACGTTTTACTAAATATAATAGTTTCTAGCAATTGAAACTTTTCCCTGATGTATAATTCATTGCTCGCTCAATATAACTTAGCATTTATTTTCTTTGGAAGAGTTTTATGACCTGAGAAAAGTCTTGCCATGATAAAACATTTCACGGGATATTATAAGAATCCTACTACAATGAGAAAGCCCAAATACATCAACCGTTATTTCAAATTTCACCTGGTTTATTTATTTATTTTTAGAAAAAAGCCACAGTAGGCTCTCTGCTGTGTCCACCTCGGGGAATCGAACCCCAGATTTTAGCATTTGAGTCCATAAAATTACCGCTGACCCACCCCACCAGGGAACTCTTTTGTGGAAGTTATCATTTATTGTTAAAACAAAGTAAATCCTAGGCCCGGCATGGCCAGGTGGTTAGGGCGTTCGACTCGCAGTCAGAGGGGCGCGGTTTCGAATCCCTATCACACCGAACATGCTCGCCCTTTCAGCTGTGGGGGCGTTATAAAGGAACAATCATTTCCACTATTCGTTGGTAAAAGAGTAGCCCAAGAGTTGGCAATGGGTGGTGTTGACCAGTTGCCTTTCCTTTTCACTGTTAAATTAGCACAGATAGCTCTCGTGTAGCTTTGCGCGAAATTCAAAACAAAACAAATCACTCAAGTCAGTAATGTTCTATCATTTCCCACTGAAAATTTATGTTTTACATCCTTATGCATATTTTCAACACCATTCTTATTCTAATAATACGCTTGTTAAATAACTAAATAACTAATGCATTTTATTTATATGAGTGTTATAAGTTTCAATATAGAGAAACGTATTCAATGCCCTCGGAAATATATTCTATATACACACACACACACCCAAACAATTAAAATACAAGAAGTCATAAATATATTCTATAATCACAATTTTTTAATTAATAACTGCATGGTATCAGAATAGAATAACAAAATGTCTCAAGTAGTCTATTAGAACATTTTAGAACGTTTCTCACTAAAACACAAAGTTTTTGATAATTTTATTAAAAAAGAACTTGTGACATCCCATAGTTATAAATAAGTAATTTTTAAGAGTAGTTAATGTCTTCCCATTAAGCCTTTTCTTCTATTACTCTTTCTATGACTGATAAAATTGAATTTTTCCAGGTCCTCCAAATACGGTAAACAACTGTTCTCTGCGAAACCAAACAGTGCATAGTGTTAAAGTAGAATGCGTAGAAGGATACAATGGCGGACTTAGTCAATATTTTGTAATGGAAGTGTACAACAAGAACTTCCAAACACTAAGAGTGAACTTGACGGCACCAGAGCCAACATTTGAAGCTGATAATCTTCCAGCAGGAACGAATTTTCTTGTTGTGATTTACGCTGTGAATGCTAAAGGACGAAGCCATCCTCTTGTCATGCGAACAAGTACCTTACCAGGACCGCAAACTCAGTCCAGAAAAGGTAAATAAAGAATAGAAGCTGTAATACAGTGAAAGACTATTGGAAATCCTACAGTTTAATAAGAAATGAAAAAAAAAGTTCTCAGTGATTAAATTGAAAAAGATAACAAGACAAAACTGTGTAATATCTAATGTGGTTTACCCAGTAGCACTGTGCACTAATCTAACGGGATAATATTATAAAAAATATTTTCAATGTAGAGTAATAGTGCTAAAAACGCAAACTACGTATTTCGAGAGATATTCAAAGTACTTCTTTTATTGGTAACGAACATTATGAAATAAAAATATGTATATTTTCAAAATTAGAATAACGTCTAGCATTTATAAAAGTTTGCTTGACTTATTTGTGGGTCTTTTTGGACTATATGGCAAGATATGTATTATTATTAGTCATAATAATGCCCCCCCCAGTGGCACATGGTATGTCTGCGGATTTACAACGCTAAAACCGGGTTTCGATACCCGTGGTGGGCAGAGCACAAATAGTCCATTGTGTAGCTTTGTGCTTAACTTCAAGCAAACTTAATCATAATAATATTCAACTGATTTCATCAATGACTCGGCGGTAAACTTGAGGTTAAAATATGAAGTTCAGTAAGCACAGTGCAGATAGGCAATTGTTTGGTTTTACGCTTAAACATGAACAAACAAATAATCATCAATATTTTTTCATTAATGTCAACTAGGTTTTTTTAGGTTGGAGGTTGTTATGGGTCGTGCTATTCTCGCACTTCGCCTTCCCTTCAACTGGATTTAGATTGTACTTGTTCGTATCGTATCAATGTAAACACAACACATTGCTGTTTATTGCTGGTGATCAATAAACATAGATTTAGAAATAGGTTTGGTTTCTTATTGGTAGCATATTACTTTCTTCTTCGCCTCTCTCAGTTTATTCGTTCTCTTTCACATCTTCCGACCTTCTCTTTTTTTTCGTTGAATATTTGTTTTTTTATATTCCTTTCTCAAGCCCACATCGAACCGGCCACTTTCTTTCCGACCTTGCACCTGTCTTCCGTATATTGAATTATAATGTTTCATAGAGGGCCTTGTGGCCTACATACCGGCTAAACTTAAAAAAGTGGTGGCAATACTCGTTTACTTCAATTATTTTGTAATGTCTTAGAGAATGACCAAAGGCTGGCCGCTTTCTCATCTTTCTTAATTTCAACCGATGTTCCTTACACCTAACTTCATAACAAAGGTTTATTCAAAATAGCAGATTTAGTTGAAATAAAATAAAACAATGAAGTTTTAAGATGCTGACTGTTGATCAAAACAGAGTTCACTGAACAACTAAGTATAGAAATTACTATATTTTAAAGAGCCCATTCTCCACTAACTTCAGTTTTCTGTTAGCAACCTTTACCGAGTTTATCGTCATTAATTATCATGGTTGCTATTAAGTCTTCTCTTGCTTATTTACTAATGTGACATGTGTGTGTGTGTATGTTGGAGACAAGCTGCAGATGAAATAATTCATACTTGTGCAATCTCGTTATCTTAAGTTACAAGTGTGTGAAGTCTATTTTCAATTGGGAGTACTTCTTGGTTTTAATATACAGAGTCTGCAGGTCCCTGCCTTTACTCTGCAACCCTCAGTTAGAATCAAAATATTATTTTAATACAAATAAACTGAAATACAATGCTACATTTTATGGACTGATTATAATAAACCAAAAGCAATTTGATGTTCCTTGGAAAAACAAGTCAGCACAAAACCATTACTTGTTTCCAGGTTAGCTAGAGTCCCAAGTGCGGCGGCCACCTCCTTCCGCACTTGTTCCTTTTATTTTCGTCTATGTATTCTTTTTTGATATAATAAAAAAACGGGTCTTTGTCTCCAAAGTTCAACCAATTATACTTCTTTTTCTTCACTCCATGCACCAATCGTGATGAACGTCATTGTTATTGAACCATGCCTAGACCCTGATTGATCAATGGTTGAGGAAAGTCCCGCCCTGATGACGAGTGAAGTTGGAAACGTAGTGCACACAGTGTAATTTTTAAGGAGACATGATATGATGATTCCCAGAATATCAACAGGTTCAAAAATTCAAGTTGCTTGAGATTCAGTTATTTCGCTGCGGTAGCTCTAACTCTTTCGTTCGTAAATTACGAAATGAAATTTAAGTAAATACCTTTTTTTGCTAACTTTTCTTTGCACAAAAAAGTAGTTACAGTATGTCATTTTTTTCCACTAATTAACATTGTTTGTTCTTGCTCAAGGTATGAAAGTTCCTTATCTGAGATACGTCATATCTTGTAGAAATGACTCTTCAGTTCCAAGCCAACTTAAGCAAAATACTTTTCATGTGTATGGTAGATAACAGGAGCATGAGAAGGGGCCTATTGGGAGAGCACATTTTGACATACGTCCCGGGAACACAATGTCACGTTACTAATAGAACTGTTATGCTTATGCATAAGATAAAAAGTATTTTACGTTATAGTAATATGGTGAAACTTATATGCGTTATCCAACTTCTTCCACAGGAACCTTCTGGCAAAAGAGTTTTAGTCCAATCTTAGTCGTCCTTGCTACCATAGTTGCGGGGCTTATAGTGATTGCCTGTATCACAGTTATCATTTTGAAAACTAAAGCTCGCTACCACGAGCATAAAGGTAATGTTCAGTCATCATTTTATAATCGAATAATATATATTGTATTATAATTCAGGGTTAATGTAAAGTAATATATAAACAAAACACAAAATAAATAAATAAATATAAATTCTAAACTCTATTTAAAGAAACAAAAAAAAACCCTTCACACTTTCCGGTCGTTATCCAAAAGTCATAAAGGAGATTGTCTGTGGTAATAGTACCCAAAAGCATTGGGGATATCTCATCTATCAGTCAAAATCCAAAAAGCAGATGAGAAATCAGTCAGTAGTCGTGGAAAATTCATTAAGGGTACAGAGTTGAGTGCTCACACTCACAACATCTCAATTCTTACTGCCTTTCACTGTCTGCAGTCAGTTGTGGGAAGGCAGTTACCCTTAAAAAATGCAATAAAGTTAAAAGTAGAAATAAGATAAAATCAAGCCACTCAAAAAATATATTTCTACTAAACAATGCTATATGCTAATTATGTAGATTTGGATATCAAATTAGTAAATGGTAAAGTACAATTGAATATTTTTGATAAAAAAGAGCATTTGATTTTCCCATCTTTAGTCTGTCCACCCCTAATAGTGTGGTTTCTCGTATGATGCTGAAAGGCATCATTACGTCTCAATTATAAAGATTTTTAACTGTTTATAATAACAGCACGTTTTTTATGTATGATGTTATATTATTCATAACTAAATTAGAAAATAATGTATATAAATACTGGCAAATAACAACTTTTTTTCCAAGTTTTTATAATAAATTCCAAAATATTTTATTAGATAAATATTCAATGAGGAAAAAAAAACAACCTTTTTTTGTCACTAGAGGTAGTCAGCTACATTTAATACGTAAGTTAAATTTATTCAGTATAGTCAGGACTAAAAAGACAAACTTCAATTAGCTGGATTTGTCTCAGCTATCCCATGCTATACTTGAATAATGTGACAATATGAACTACTTAAAGTAAATCTTGTAGTTCTTTTTAAGATCTTTTATAATAAATAAGTCATTTTCAGAAAAGGGTGGAGGTTGGGAGTAACGTGTAGTAGAATTATTAGGGTGGTATTTATTCTACTTTAAGTATTTTTAAGAACTTTTAAGTGTGGAGAATGGTAGGCATTGTTTAGTAGAAATATATATTTTTGGGTGGCTTGATTTTATCTTATTTCGACTTTTAACTTTATTGCATCTTTTTAAGGGTAACTACCTTCCCACAACTGGCTGCAGACAGTGAAAGGCAGTAAGAGTTGAGACGTTGTGGGTGTAAACACTCAACGCTGTACCCTTAATGAATTTTCACGACTGCTGACTGGTTTCTCATCTGCTTTTTGGATTTTGTCTGATAGATGGGATATCCCCAACGTTTTTGGGTGCTATTACCACAGGCAATCTCTGTTATGGCTTTCGGATAACGACCGGAAAGTGCGAAGGTTTTTTGTTTCTTTAAATAGAGTTTTGAATTTATATAATGTTTATTATTGTTTTATAGTGCTGATTTTGATCGACTATTGACAATTAATGTAATTGATATAATAGTTTTGAAGCTATACCTCTTAATATATATACTTTTTTAAGCTAAAGTTACTTCACTAATGGAGTTAAGTATGATTCTTTCCATAATCACGAAAGCCCAGCCATCACAAACAATACTCTTTGTATGTCGGAAATATCACGGGTAACGACAATGCGTTATTTGTTTTCTTTTGTTTATTGTCAGACGAGATACTGACAGAGATCACTACGTGTAAACGTGAAACTGTCAAATGGACAAATAACAAGAAACCTAACAGGGGTAATGACAGTCAAAAAGGTTGGGATGCTATTGCTCGTAATAAGGTATGGTGAAACTTTTCCCTTCCCTAAGTATTCAAAATGCAGTTGTATGTTATTTCTAAGCATTTTAATTATCTTTGTTTATATCCAATTAGCACTCGTTAATTTACAATGCCCGAATTCTTCCCCATAAGTCCCCATGCTGTAGCATTTAATAATTAGTTTTATTAGTTTCTTATGCTAGTATGGTAAAGCGAATGTATTTTGTATAGCTTAAAAATTAGTTTTATTTGTTTCTTATTAGTTTAATGGTTTAAATTTTGATGATCTGTTTCACTAATCGCGTTCCATGTTGTAAATGTTAATCATATTAATATTTATAATCATTATTCGTTTAAATAATTATGGAAATCAAACAAAGCAAGGAATCCGAAAGAAGTCTAAAGATTTGTTTTAAGTGTCAGTAAGCTGTATTTCTAACTTGCCTTAAAAGATGATCACTAATATATGAGTATCCATGTTAATAACAAAAACATTATTTTATCATTATATAACAACAACACATGTTACACGACTAATTTAATAAATCTCATAAAAGCTAGTAATGAAGTAAAACAATAAAACTTCTAAGCTCTAGAACGCAGTTTACGAGTCATGTAATGATTCAACGTGTCTTCTCGTTGTGTGTGTGGCAATTATATTCAAAACTCGCTGGTAAAAATCACCAAGACAAAGTTGTAAAATATATTACAAAATGGAACTTAGACAAAGCAGATAGCATATTTAGATAACTGTAGTTACTTAGATTGATTAATATCACGGGCCTGCGATAGTTTTATTGTCTTGAAATTTTTACATGTTCTACAGTAATTCCTGTACACTGATCCAGAAAATGATATCCATTTTCTCCATCACGTACAGATTTTTCATAAAACGTCGTATGTACTTTTACATAAATGAATCATTTTCATTGAAAGCCGGGCACATTTTGTTATGCTTAAAATGTTGACAGCCACTGGCTATAGATTTCTCTAGACCAATCGCGACGTGAGTCTTATCAATCGTTTTAGAACCCAAAAATAACAAACATAATAATAATAAAAAAATTTTCACTGTCGTAAACAAAATAATAATTTGATCTAAGTAAGAGTTTTTTTTTTCTTCCCGATTTGTAAAACATCCTTACCTGACAGAAAAAGTAAATATTATTTTCGAAGTCTGCATAGCTGAAGTATAGAAAATCCGTTATTAAAATCAAAACAATTTTTATGAAGTATAAATTCGCAGACCTGTGTAATTAGAACTATAGTCAGATTATTCTGTTGTTTGCAAGAACAGTGTTAGTACTTGTGTGTTATCCTTAAATAGCTAGAAAATGTCTTTGATTTCGTAAAAAAGAGGGATAATCGATAACGGTAACAACTGATGAAAATGCATCTTAGAAAAGGTTAATATTCGTCATAGCCTCAAATCACTTATTTTTACGATGAGCCTGGCATAGTTTGATGATTAAGGCACTTGACTTGCAATCTGCGGGTAGCGGGTTTGAAACCCGTCGTTAAACATTCTATCCCATCTAACCTTGGGAGCGTTATAATGTGACGGTAAATACGTCTATCACTTCAAAATTAGGGACGGCTAGCGCAGGTAGTCACCGAATAACATTTCGCAAAATTCAACAAAACAAACAAATATTTACCCGGATTTGACTTAAGATTTAAAATAAAATATTTTGTCATGCAAGCTGTTATGTAAGTTAGTCTGGTACATTATTACTCGGATTTATCTCCTAGCTTCGTCTCAAAAAACGTTATAATAATATCGGGGCTCATTATTATAAACACTTTAGGTATTATCTGATTCATGAACTTTTGACGTACATGTATTTATTATGATTCAATGTTAAATCGTAAAAACATAATGTTCAATTCACACACGATGTATTTGAATATGCAATCTGTCGACACGATATTCGAATTAATATGAAAGAATAAGAGACTTTTATGAAGCATTTAAAAAGTATTTTGGTATGGGCTAGGTATCATGATATCACAGGTAGAACCCCCTAGTGGCACAGCGGTATGTCTGTGGACTTATAACGCTAGAAATCGGATTTCGATACCCGTGGTAGGCAGAGCACAGATAGCCCATTGTGTAGCTTTGTGCTTAACTTCAAAACAAACAAGCATAGGTAGAAAAGCATGGAATGCACGAAATATTAGTTAAGTTCATGATACGTAGGAGAAAACAACAACAACAACAACAACAAAAAAACAAGTCTGATAACTCGAGATCTTTCAAAAGTTACTTTCTTCGTCGTGGGCCACTATTAGTTTCAAATAATGTTTTAAAACTCTTTGAACCACAGTAACAAATCATCAAAAATTGAATCAAATCAAATTATTACAGTATTTATTAGGAGCAGCGTTACGTTGTTATTTATTAGTATAATTTTCTTAAATGCTATAAATAAGACACAACTAGTGTTAGTTTGAAATTGCCATAGGTTTTCTAAATATTAGATATAATACTCTGATGTTTTAAATAGCAAATCATTTGTTATACAAAATACATTGTTTGTAGTAAAGCACCACATGGTTTTCCGAGATGTTACGTATAACAACTCATCACTGTTTGTAACAAAGCGCCACAGTTCTCCTAATCTTTGATTTTTACTATGTTATTATTTTTACGCATGAACGCATTCTTGTTGTACTCCAATAATCGTAGAAGTACACATTTTAACCAAAACGGTACCTTATGGTTAGAAAAACCATGGTTTCTGGTATAGATGGCTCCTAGTTTTGAGCTTTTGATCAGTGAGAAGGTAGTCGGTAAGCAGCTCGATAACGCCAATTTTATAGCACGCCCATGGATGAGAGTGCTGAGCATGTTTATCAGCACAACTTCTCGAACCCTGGGTCTCTTCGCTTTGCATAGCAGCACGTTAAACAATATGCCCAACCTGGTCTCCATATTTAAAGAGTTACAATTATGTGTCTACTGATGCATTCGTATATTCAGTTTATATACTGACCTTAAACGGATTCTGATTCAGCTAATTTCTTTGTTTTGTGACCCTCGGTGGGCCAGCGGTAAGTCTCTAAACTTACATCTGTAGAATCTGGGGTTTGATTCCACGCGGTAAACACAGCAGATAGCCCAATGTGGCTTTGCTCTAAAACAAAGAAACAAACAAACTCTTTGTTTTGTAAAATGTACAATATATGTGTGGTTATTCTAACGCATGGAGAGAACCCGAATTTTAGCACTACAAGTATCTAAGCCCAGAGTCACTGGAAGGGGAGGGACAGTTCTGATACACTGTTTTACAATACAAAATAATAGTTGTCAGTAATTTCGTACAACCTTAAGTGAACGAACATTTATGTTAATGAACAATTTGACAATTTGTAATTTCTAATCCCTTTCTTCATTTGCAATTGAATTTTCAAATCAAAATAACGTATCTATATATTCAGTTTAAATCATTTTACGTATTTTAAATGCGAGTCTAAATGGAATTGATTTCTGGTCTCAGTAACGATGTATTAATACTAAACTAATTAAGCTCATAATTATGTAGGAGTTTTAAATAATTACTAGCTTAATTGGATTAGTACTAATGTTTTGCAACGATGAGCCAATTTCAATTACCCATAAGAGTAAAATTGGACTTATTACACTTAAAAAAAATTTCAAAAAGACAGTTTTACAGAAGGTATAGAAAACAATATAAAATTAATTACGACGATAGCAAACCTTTGGGAAAACACTTGTACAGGGGATTTTATACTGTGAATATCAAGGTTCATGGTGCAAGTTTCATTGGCGCAAAAACCGCTCTACAGTTTGGGGTCGTGGGCGCGTTATAAGAGTGATGGTTAATTGTAAAAAAACCACTATTTATTCAGACAAGAATAGACGAAGGGTTGAAATGAGTGCCTTTGACTAGGTGCATTCCATTTAGTTTATCAGTTCAAAATTAGGGAAAGTAATGTGCAGATAGCCCAATGTGAAATGTGAATTAAATGCAAATATTATTCCATCTTTTCTTCTCAATTGTATGAAAATTAATTGCATAGTACGTGTTCATAGGTTATACTGTGATTGGTTGTAATCCAACCACTCAGAAAATATCGCGCCATTATAAAGCATATCAAAGTACAGACGGTCATATTAGGTACTATGACCAGTACTAGTTGTGTGAATTCAGTCATGACACCCAGGAAAGAAATACCGTAGGACAAACCTGTAAAATTAAAGTTTTGGTTGGTTAATGATACTCCATGCGAACATTTACTGTAGTATTTCATGTTTCAGTAGGAGATGTATGGAAAACGTTGAATTATACGTCGAACTGGCGCTGGTAATAAATGGTCGAGGTAGAAAGGAGAAACTTTCTACAGGTAATGAGTGTTAAGTATCTCAGGTTATGTTGTTGTTTTTTTACGATCTTTCCAACAACTCTGATCTAATTACAGGTGTGAATGTTACCGTGTTGACATTAAGGTACACATTATTACTAATTGGTTTCGGAAATGTAGTTTCACGAGAAACTGCTGAAGAGGATGAGTAACCAAACCAACAGGTTGAAATTGGCATCGATCAACGAATAGTGAAAGAGAAAAGCTATATACGTGTACTTTTTTTACAGATTAATTGATGTTCGAATTCTTCAACAACAATCAATATCAGTTTCTTCAACAATGAAGAGAATAACGGTATAATAGTCAATTTACAATAACCACAGTGGAGCATGATGGCAAATCAATTCAAGATTGGAGCTACAACTCTGCCAACAGTGTTGGAGATCTACGCAATCGTGTTTGTACCTAGACTGTTGACAAGTGCAGCAAATTCTAATCAATCATGCTATTTTCTCGGAAACACAACTGATCAGGTGTTGATTTATGTTTCAGTAAGAGAGTGATTCCAAGTACAAACCAGATGTGGTGAAACTGAAAAATATATTGACGTTAAAATGGCCGATTGGATTTCATCTTGCAACCATGGTCTCGATACAAACATTTTTATTCTATATGGGCTTATGCAAAAACTTG